TCTCTCTCTCTCTCTCTCTCTCTCTCTCTCTCTCTCTCTCTCTCTCTCTTCAAGAGCCCTCCAGCTGGATTGAGCGGGGGGTTAAGGGATTCAGGAAGGGTTTTTTGTTTCATATCTGAGGGTTTTTATTTTAGCCCTGTCTAAGTGAAGACCAGTCCTTTCCTGTGGCCTTCACAGGACGGGACTCGCCTCTGCTCTTCACTCTATGTGGTGTGGTACGCATTAAAGCACCAGAAGCTGATAGTATGTTTTTGTATTGGAGGGCTGAACAATTAAAGAGATGAAGAGAAAATGTTGCTTGTAGTTTAGCTGACTGCTCAGCTGACTGCGGCTAGCTCACGGTAACGGTCTGCAGCCGGCTAAGTTGTTTTCTTTCCTATTTAGCACTACAATTTTTATTGTGCAACCCTGTTGTACAATGAAAACCATGTAACCTTTTAACTTGTAAACTAATAGCACCATTTTCTCTCCGTCTCTGAACCGCTTCGTAGATATCGTCAGACTCTCTTTTCCATAAGTCTGCTTTACAGTGCAGGCAGTTGTTGAAATGCTGGAATAGCAGTGTTTCCTGCAGGATATTCCACCATTGAATCAGGGTTTCACTGAAGTAATGTGTAAGGGCATCTGCATTTGTAAAGCCACCAATAGGATTTACTAAAGCCTGAAAACGGAGCCAAGAGAAGGTGCAGAAGCCTAGTTTTCACTCAGACCACTTTAATTAACAGATGCTGAAGGGTTAGTTTTTTGCCTAATGACACCAAAACTATACTGCCTATCCCAGCTTTAAATTCATACAATATTGCTTCAAATCCATTGACTGATTAGATTATTAGATGCTTATAATATGAAGCATATTGATGGCATCTGGAAGAGGATTCACTGTTAAGCTGCGGCATTCTCTGTGGTCACTGAGTGAGATATGCAGCCAGGCAGCACTGAGCACTTAGCAGGCCCGGTGAGCTGCAACCTTCAGAAACACCAGTGGACCTCTTGGGTCAGGACAATTACACCAGCAATTAGACACCAGGATGGGCACTTGTAACGGCCACTTTAACAGGATTGAGGTCCAGGAGCACACACAACCCGACTGACACAGGGACGCACAAACACAGTCACTTTGTGTTGCCCCGTGGGCCCACTCAGGTCTTCACTAATGAACATCATTAGTGTTTATAGGAAACAAGCTTTTATCACCTCGTCAAGGCTGTCGGCCAGGCACACTGAATTACACACACACACACACACACACACACACACACACACGTACCGTGGCATACTGCCTCACATATCTTCCTGCCTCCACTGTCCCGTCCTCTCAGACGGGTTCAGGACGCCGTCTCCGTTCCTTTGGCCTCCTCTCGCCCAACGTGTTTTTATTTCTTTCTCTGACTCCCCCTACCCCCCCTCCCCTCTCCTGTCTCTCTCCAAATGCTCTCCATTTCAGAGTGATTATGCGCTACCTCTGCGTGTCGGCCTACATCTGTCTCCAATCAGAGCGCTATTAAAACGCACACACACAGACACTCACCACATGGGCCTGCATACTGTGTGGTTCATCAGCTCTCATGTGAGCCGGTATTTATACAAATGTATGCAAACGGCATACTTACAAATCCAACTGCAGCTAAGTAGGATCCAGGTCGTCTGACTTATGTCTGACTGACTGACTGTCGTATTTGTGTGCTGTTGTGTTTCGCTTCACCAAAATTGCAGAGGATTCGGGCTGAAACGCTGAGGTAATTAACATCAGCTGTTCCTGATTCCTCTGGGTTTTTCTAAAATAGATTTACGCCCACAAACAGACATGTAAACACATTTGTGCAGTCTGATAAACAGTGGCACATCAGTAACTGCAGACATGGCGAGCAGTAGGCATGCAGGTGTCTGTCACTGCAATTGACCTCAGTGAGGTCTAAGTGGCATGTGCTGGAGGAACTCTGTTTTACGGGCTGTGTGGGGTTCGTGCAATCATTCTGTTTCTATTTATTTTCCTTAACAGCCTCCTAATGTGTCTAACCAAGGGGCAAACACTCATTAAAAGGGGTGTTGGCCAATTAGTCACCAAGTTGTTTTTTTTTTTTTTTTTTATTATGGCCACAGCTCTCAACCTTTCTCTCCGTCTGTCTCTCTTGTGTTTCGGGCTCTTTTTCTTTCCTTGAGCGATAAGAGAGAGACAATTTCCGTTATGTAAATACACGGAGATACACATCAGCAGGGAATGCACCAGCTGACATACCATAGTAGTGAAGACACAGACCCCACTGTGCATGCCTCGGCTGTACAGTAAGCCAAAAAACAGAAAAGTCGACCAACAGTAGAACCGTTCTGTAAATGACTTTCCCTTTGTCCTTTACGGCACGGCAGAACTACATATGTTTGCATACTGACCTGTACGTGATAATGGTGCTCACGATGTGAGCTGTGCTACACCTGCAGCCTGCTCGCAGGACTTGCTCTGTGCGGTTGTGTGTGTGTGTGTGTGTGTGTGTGTGTGTGTGTGTGTGTGTGTGTGTGAGAGAGTGAGAGTGAGAGAGAGAGAGAGAAAAGAGTGTGAGTTCAACATCTGTTCGTTATCAGAGCCAGAATCACAGCGGCATCATTGCTGCAGTAGGTCTGACAACTCGATGTTGTAGATTTCCACGGTTGATGAGTTAAGCATGAAAAAAAAAAATGGTTAACCCTCATCCCCCACTGATTAGATTTCCACCTAAAAGCAATGAATAGACAGAATGTGCTATTTATCCACAGCAATGACCCAAACCGCACTTGAAATAAGAAGCTGCTTTGTGTCTTCAAAATAATGTTCATAAACCACATAATACAGGCTGATGAATGAATGCTAAATAACACAACAAGAAAATAAAGAAAACTACAAATGAATATAATAAATAGAAACATGGGAAAATCATTACCGGGGGGAAAATTAATCTGTAAAACAAGCAAGAAACTAGACAAAACCATGCTCATCCCAAATATATTGTGTGATTCACTATTGATTAAACTCAAAGCTAATTCCAAAATCTGTTTAAACTAAAATCTGTCACATTCTCTTAGCAGAAGCCAAGTCTTTGTCCATTCTGTTATTGGAAAACAATTATCCAGAAAACTGTTTTGATCAGATGCTTTGTGGCGTTTCATCCCATTGGCTGAAACGCCACCCTCTCTGTCCAAATTGGGCTTTTCCATCAACGTGTTCCTCATAAAAACACATCAATGAATGTTTAAAAGGCATCAGTGCACTGCAGAATCTAGCAAGGCCACACATTGGTCCACTGACTTTCAACCACATACAATAATGTCCTTTGAAGTGTTTGTGAAAAATCTTACAGGGAAAAACAACCTCAGTAGCAAGAAAGGACATTTTCATTTCTCACACGAGACAATTAGAACTGGCATAGTCATTTCGTTTTTTGTCAGTATAATCAGTCAATTCTTCTTTATATAGTTTCTCCAGTGCACATTCTCCTTCAAATCCCTTTCTCTACCATGTCGGACCATCATTAGATCCAGATCAGGCTTATGGGATTTTCTAGAAAAAGCAACTCGACACATGCTACACAGAAAGGGTCTGAGAGTCAGTATCATACACTAGGTTCCCGTTTCTGATATTTATACGTGGTTGAAACCATCATGCGGCGTGCTGCTCACAGGGCCCTGTGTTCAGGCCATATGAGAGCGATTTGGGGGCTGCAGGGGAAACTCTGGGTGGTTTGAAGTGTTCCAGAGAATGTTTAGATTGTTGTCACAGTGGCAAGGACACAACCATTAAGCTGTCGTCTGAGGTGACGCGCAGGTCAGTCAGACAAGATCGGCCTTGAACATGGTACGAACTCCCCAACAAACATGCAAACTCAGACAGACATTGCTTCTTTTGCACAGGCATTCACAGCTCTATAATTGTGCTCAAGCATTTATACTTGAGGTGGGGTAAGAAAAAAATAAATAAAATCGCTCTTTCTTACACACACTGATCACCTCTCGCTCTTTCCCTTTTACTTACAACTTCTTAACTGACACAGAGGGGCCTCTGACAAAGCCTCCAGTGTTTCTGGGGGAACTGGTGCCAAGAAATAACAGGCTGCCTGCTTTCATAGACAGACAGTTCCCTCGACACACACACACACACACACACACACACACACACACACACACACACACACACACAGACAGAGGGCTTGCTCCAGATGTGGTGCCTGTCACCCTTCAACACTCCCACCTGCCCCCCAAGTCACTGTTTTTTTTTGTTTTTTTTGTTTTTTCCCTCCTTTTTGCCTAAACCCACAACATTTTTATGTCGTATCATATGGCCTCTGATGTGGGGCAGCATTTAGACAATTGAATCATCCCTTCCCACCCAACTACTCCCACACACACACAAAAGTAAATGGACTCTGGTGTATATTGTGTCAGACAGGTAATCAGACCTGAGTTTTCAAGACGCCTGAGCTAGTGGGATATTATCTTATTTTATTTTTAACTACCAGCTCTACTTAAGAAAACCTTGCATGGTGGTAAGGAGGAATGTGGCACACCATTGGTGATGTTCAGTCCTGTGGGCTCACAGAGCTGTGTGTGTGTGTGTGTGTGTGTGTGTGTGTGTGTGTGTGTGTGTGT